ACTCTGTTTTATGGCAAAACCAGTTTTTGGAAGGATTTGGACTATTTTCTTGTCTTTCTCAAAAAAATTATTCTGCTGTGTTGCCCCACATGATGTTGCAATGTATTGCAGGTGTTCAAGAGCTTTGCCCTGTTCCAGTGTAGTCTGGATCAGTCCATGGCAGATGATAGGGCTGTATTTCCATCCCTGGGACAGTTGGTTCCAGGTGTACTGGACACCCCTCCAAGTGAAAACAAACTGCACTCTGCTGCCAAAGCAATTGAGGAAAATGCATTGACAATGTCAGTTGTGGCACCACTGTGCTGCCTTTGACTCCAGTTTGTGTTAGAGTTCCAGCATGTCCAGTACAGTAGACTTCGGTGTGACTTCATTCAGGCCACATTAATCTACTGTTGGTCTCCATTAGACTTTCTCATGGGCCATATGGGGCTATTAAAGGGTGAGCTGGTCCTGCTGATCACTCCTTGGCTCTCCAATCGATAAATCAGCTTATGGATGGGAATCAGGGAGTCTCAGCTGGTGTGATATTGCTGTGATCAGCACTTGTTGATTTTGACCTTCAGCAACCCCATAATAGAAGGGTCCTCTGAGAGACTGGACAAGGTAGGCAGCTGATTAATTTCCTCTGTCTCCAGGGCAGCTATACTGACAGCCCAATGATACCCTTTTGGGTCCTTGGAATATCCTCTCCTGAGATAATCTATGCCAAGGATGCACAGAGCCTCTGGGCCAGTCACAATGGGGTGTTTTTGCCATTCGTTCCCAGTCATCAGCTGTTGAGATCCCTGTCACTCCAGAAATACAAATGGGTTCTGCCCCTGCCTAGCTTGCTGGTATTAGGGTACACTGTGCACCAGTATCTACTAGAGCCTTATAGTCCTGTGGGGCTGATGTGCCACACAGTCCAGAAACCTGGTTGTCCCTCTCCTTCGCCTGGCTGGAGACAGGACCCCTATAGTCTTGGTCATAGGATTCTGCACTTCTTATAAAAATGGATTCGAATTTCTTTCCATACGATCAGGAGTAAAATCATCCCTTCCATTCTGCCTGGGGAACTGCCTGCTGGATACTGGAGCAGCAACTTTCCTGGAAGAATCCCCATTTGTGATTGTTTTTCCTTGCAATTCATGTCCCCATGCCTCTAGGCTTGAGGTAGGTTTTTCATCCCACTTCATCTCCTCTCTGTGGTCTCGCAGGTAAAACCACAGGGTACCCTGTGGTGTGTACTTGCTGTATTCTCTTGAGAGAAAGGATGCCTCCTGTGTATTGCTGAGATGTGGGTACATACAGGTATGCACATATTCTCACTGAATTGCTGGAACTCTGATAGTTTCTCCACAGCTGAGATAAGGGAGGAAGAAATACTCTCTTCATATTCCCAGATTTGACAAATCACTTGTGTTGGTGGCACATTGTCTTTTTAGATTAATGTAGCCAATGGGTTGGCCTGTGTTGTTGGTGCACTTGTTCTGCCAATTGACGGGGGCAACAAAAATGACCCAGACACCAACGAAAAGAATAGGCTTATTTTACTATTGGTGTTTTAAGATAATAAAAAATAAATAATATATTTACATATAAGGTTAGTTAAGAAAGTTCTAATACAAACAGCACAAACAACAAAGACAAGAAGCAAGGTAATGCACCTAATCATTACTACATACAGGAAAGAATAGTGATCAAAGATACATCACCAGTTGCTCTAATACTTTATCATCATCCAAACCCGCAGTTGCTGGGGAGCCCCTGGTTGCAGCAAGGAGAGCCTTTCCCGGCAATTGAGAAGTCCTACGGAGTGCGTCCACTCGTAGGTGAGGTGTCCAAAGTCGCTGCAAGAAGGTCCAGCTTTTATAGGTCAAATTAGCAAGCAAAAAATAACTTGCAGTTTCTTATTGTTTATGCAGATAACACCTGGTGGTTATTCTCCTTTACTAAAGCTCTTTTACGAGATAACCTTCATGTGCGTTTCTTGTGTATAGAGGCAGTTGATACCAACACAAGTTAGTTCTCTGGTTCAGCTGCAAGTCCTGTTGTCATATTGCCATATCCAGAGAAAACATTTTTCCCCTTAGGGTAGTGAGCAGGGCTCGATAGGCCTGGGCCAGGCCCTAGCGCATTGCAGTGATTTGTGTCTCTCTGGAATTGCCAGGGTGACAGCACACCTGTGAGGTGCTCACAGGAGTGAGAATATGTGAGAGCAACAACTCTGCAGACATCAAAGTCAGTGAAGAAGAAGGGGGAGGAGCTGCTCCAGATGCCAGAGCAGTGATTCTCCTGCAGGCCATGGTGAAGGCAATGGTGAGGCAGATTGTGCCCCTGCAGCCCATGGAGATTAACAGTGGAACAGATATTCTCCTGCAGCCCCTGGAGGACCCTGTGCTGGAGCAGGTGGGTGCACCTGAAGGAGGCTTGTCACTATGTGGGAAGCCCGCTCTGGAGCAGGCTCCTGGCAGGGCCTGTGGACCCATGGAGAGAGGAGCCCACACTGCTGCAGGTTTGCTGTCAGGACTTGTAACCCTGTGGGAAGCCCATGCTGGAGCAGTCTGTTCCTGAAGGCCTGCACCCCATGGAAGGGACCATGCTTGCCGTGACTGAGAGACGGGATGCAGCTTGATGCAAGCAAAATGTCAGTTTATTAGGCTGTTGTGTACAAACTTATACTAATTTCTGCTAAGCGTGTCTTATACTGATTGGCTACAAAAGACAAAGCGGGTACATTGGGCACATGTTCATTGGTTAGTACAGGAAAACAGCTTATGGTTAAACATCTTTTTTCTTTAGCAATAACTCTTCTTACAAAAACAGTTTTTTCGTTATCTCCCTTGCTCATTACTTTCTCTGCACCAGCAGCTTGACATTGTGGCCGTTGCCTAAGCAACATAGCCACATCCTTATCTTATCTCTCCCAAGGTTTGCGGCTGACCAGCTCCAGCACATCCCTGTCCACCAGCCGGGCCACACTAGGGGCCCTGCTGAGGGGAGCCAGCTCTGGACCCACACATGCTAGAGCAGTTCATGAAGAACTGCAACCCATGAGAAGGGTTCACATTGGAGAAGTTCATGGAGGACTGTCTCCTCTGGGGGGGACTCCACACTGGAGCAGAAGAGTGTGATGAGAATTCTTCCCCCTGTGGAGGAAGGAGTGGCAGAGACGGTGTGTGATGAACTGACCACAACACCCATTACCCATCCCCCTGTGTCAATGGAGGGGAGAGGTGATACAGAATTTGGGAGTAAAGTTAAGCCCAGGAAGAAGGGAGGAACAGGAGGAAGGTTTTTAAGATTTGGTTTTATTTCTCATTATCTTACTCTGATTTGATTGGTAATAAATTCAGTTAATTTCCCCAAGTCAAGCCTGGTTTGCCCGTGACGGTAATCAGTGATCTCTCCCTGCCCTTATTTCGATCTGTGGGCCTTTCATTGTATTTTCTCTGCCCTGTCCAGCTGAGGAGGGGAGTGATAGAGTGGCTTTGGTGGGCGCCTGACCAGGGTCAAACCACCACACTTTATTTTCTGAAAGTACAATTCCTGCATTTCCAAGTAAAATATTTAATAAAAGGTGGTTGTGGAAAATGGAACAGAACTAGTGTTTACCCAGGTTTGTGCAGTGTGTTATTTGGGGCACTAATACTGGACCAAGTTTCTAATTTATGCCTATTTGCTCTGGACCTTATGGCTTTCCACTACCCTATGAACTAGGAACTTAATAATATATACACATGCATAGATATATATATATATATATATACACACGCACACACACTTTTTTCCCCCCCAGATTACCCTTTGAATCCTAAATCTAGATCTTCAAGAATGCTGGTCATTAAAAAGGGCAGTACAAAAGAACTGCAGATACCTGGATTCCCTGTAGTAGGAAGTCTTCATTCACAGACAGTAAAGAATGGAACTGGCACAACTGTTTATAAAGAATTAGTCCCTAAACCTGCTACTTCACCCGCAAAGGTGAGTCTTGGATACTGGTGGCATAACAACATGCTGAAAAAAGTCATGCTCTTATTCTGAATGTGCTTATTTCATTCCTGAGAGTACTGTTCCTAGAGTATTATGCTTTCAAGTCTTGCTAAGTGCAGAACACCCCAAAAGTGAATGGAAACACTTTTCCTCATTTTTATTTTTAAACTATACTGTAATTGGCTCTCTCTTTCTCATTTACCTCTTTTTGAGACATGCAAGAGCTGTCCAAGGGCGACCGAAAAGGATGGTTTTAACTTAGATAATAACAATGCCTTTTGTATATATGTTTTTAATAGAAAAATAGATACCTAGTGGAAAAATATAGTTTGCAATAAAGTACCTCCAGAATTTATCCCAATTTGGGATATAGATGTGCTTAGTGTTATTCTGGTCCCTCTCCATATGCAGCTTTTCATGTTCATATTTTGATTTTGTTTCAGGAATATTTCTATGCTCCTGAGAGCAACTGATGGAGCTGTTCTTAATTCTCTTAACATACTGCATTAAAAACACTACTTTCAGCTGTTGAAGAGTCATGTGATTTGATTCTGTCATGGTTTAACCCCAGCCAGCAGCCAAGAAACATGCAGCCTCTCACTCACTCCCCCACCACCGGGATGGGGGAGGGAGTCA